AAAGGGAAATATCATTTCTTTTCGTTTTAATTTAGAAATACATCGTCATCCATTATAAACCTATTTCATTGCAATAACAAATGTCCTATTAGACGTCTTATAGTAAATTAGGTGTGTCATTATGTGAATTTGTAATAAAATTAGTGAGAAAAACGCATCTATCTAACAAAACATAAAATCGAAACAGCAGAATCAAAAATTCTATTCGGATAGAATTGAGAGATTCAGAAAATATAAGTGCCTCGTAAAACGAAAGCAAATAAAGCGGTTGTTTTAAAATTGTTTCAAAGCAAAACATAAACCCTTTAAAATATACATTTATAATCAAGTAAACCGCATATAATTCACCAAGTTATCAGCTCATGACGAAAATGTTGATGAGATATTCCAGTTCCTTTTTTCCTTACAGCTATTCTTTATAAAACCTGGTCGGATCTATCAGTAACAAAACGTGCAGCGACGAAGAAGTAGTATAACGAATAAAATGCGAGTAAATAAAAAGATAAAAAAAGAAGATCGAGGATATAAAATCTTCCCTACGAACGATTTCTGATGAATACAATGAGAAAGAATGTCAGAGTTTTTAGAAGAAGGAAGAACAAATAAAATCCCGATAGGGAACAACACAGAAACTCGAAAGATAGCATGTGTCAAACACAAAGTGAGAAGGTTCCGAAGAGCGTTTTCATCTCGATATGCAATCTATGTTGACTCCAAATAGAAAATATATAAAATAATGAAAGGGGCATTGTGGAAAGCAGAGCTGAAAAAGAGAGAAAACGACTCACGGTGTAGCAAATACGCCATCAAAATATTCGCATAAAACAAATAAAACGATTTACAAACGAGTGAAGGCGTCATATAAGCCATTTAGGTTATTATTAGCTCAGTAAGAAACTGTAGAAAAAAGCCGTTTTCTCTAGAGCCATTCGTTATAAAAATATTAACGAGCATGTAAATAATAAAACATGCTTATACGAAGAAGTAACACGAACAAAATGGGACGAAAACAAAACGATGAACAAGAAACTCGATGAAATAAAATCTCCCACTACCTAAGATTTCTGGTAAATGAAATGAGGGAAAAAGCCAGAAAGTGGGGCAGACACATGAAGAAACAAAAATATGAAAAGAAATAACATAAAAGTCGAGAGACAGGATGTTTCAAACTCACAATGAATAGATTTTGAAACTCATTTTCAGTTCAATATGCAAATTACGTGGACTCCAAGTACGAAATACATAATCGAAAGAAGGGGGCTTTGTGGGAAGGTGGAACGAAAAACAATAAAAACTAAGTTCTACGAAGAAAATAAAAAAATGCACATTAAATTCAAAAGAATGCAAATTAAACCGAAATATTAATTCCCTAATCAAAAGACAGGGAGCAGAAATTCAAAAAAATAAATAAATAAAAGTTTTAAGGTATAAGCTTTTATTCAAAATGCACTTTAAATGCGAAAATACGTTTACACAATAAAACTTCGTCAAAATGAACTCAAAAGTAAAAAAATAATTTTTCTGATTACAATAAAATGCATTTTTTGAATAAAAGTGTGGGCCCTTATATAGCACCTTTTAATTCGTGTATATTTTCTTAAGGTATCCGACTGGTTTTAAATCGTCGTTTTTAAAGAAATTATCAAAAAAAATTATGACTTAATTTTGTAGCCTGTTTAATCAGCTTTCTAAAACTGTCTTACTTTTTACTCTACCTGAATTACAAATGGAGTTACAGCTGTTTTATTACCGAACTGTAAGCTTTTTTTTTGTTGCATGAAAACTTTAAATGTGTTTTCTGAGAAATGATATTTTTGAGGAAAACTGTCGACCGTAAAATGATTTTTCAAAAAGTTATTCAAATATTGATATGAAATTTTCTGAGATTGTTCTCTGTAATATGCTTGATGTTTTCCTCTAAAAGCTAAGGTGAATTTTAAAATCAAGTATTAATTTTAAGTGTTTAAATATAAACGAAAAGCATTTTTTATGAAAAATTACCAGTTTAGTAACTATGTTCAGCTATATCTCAAAACTATTTTGAAGTACAAGAAATATTTTAGAGCATAACACAGATAACTATCATAAAAATGTACTCCTACAAGGATTTATGTATATTTAGAATATGATTTTGTCTATGGCTGTTAGCGTAAGGTAAATATTTTAGTCATTTTTCTTCAAATTTCTCAGTTTTTTTAAAAAATATTATTTTGAAAGCCTAATTTTACAATATTTTCATGGTTTTAAAGCATATGCAGTTGAAAAATAACATTAAAAAATATATATAAGTTATTTTTCAAAAAAATGTCTCCGAACACGGTTGGATACCTTAAACAAATGGATTATTCCCAGAAGGTAAAGGCGCCTACGCTTTTATTCGAACCATGCATTTTATTGCAATCAGAAAAATTATTTTTTACTTTTGAGATCATTTTGACGAAGTTATAATGTGTGAACGTATTTTCTCATTTAAAGTGCATTTTGATTAAAAGCTTATACCTTAATTTTTTTTATATATTTTTTTTCTACTTTTTAGTGACGGCTAAAACGAGTACACACGACATGTTAGCCATAGTAAACCAGATTCAATAACTGAATTCTCCAATATAAAACATATATTAAAATTATTATATGCATATGTACAATTACATTTTTAAAATGATTTAATGACACTGACTTTCTGAAATATAAATCCGTGATATATTACAGGAAAATTTACAATTATTATCAACAATGTATTAGAAAAAAGATAATCGATCTACACAACTTTATCTTTTTGCTTTTGTGTGCGAAGCGTTTGGCGCACACGAAGTAATTCCAAACTTTAGAGTTTAAATATAGGGATAAAATTTTAATATCATTTTTTTAGGTTTAAAATAGCTATAGATTGCAAATTGTTTTGCATAATATTGTATTGTCACCGGAAACCCGCCACTTTGCTAGATTTCAAAACAGTAGCTCGATTGGAAGTGGGTAAGAAATCGATCTCAAGATCTGAGGACACGACAGTCAAGTTGAATAAAAGCGTATAATAAAAAGGGAGTAAGAAGTCCTCCTCTTTTTAATTGAGAAGGGGATTGAACGAAGGTAATTTAAGGAAGCCTCTCTGTCTAGATCTAATTCATTTTTTTTTGTTATCATCTATTATGAATTATGAATGATGTTGTCGCCCCCACGCTATGTGTCTTGAAAAGAAATTTCATTAAAATAATAATATAAGAAACAAAACATGCGTGGCAGGCTGAAAATTCTTCTGACAATTTCTGCCTATTCCATAAGGGGCTATGCACATGAAATGGTGAGGTTTGAAAACATTGGCAATGAATAATTTTTATACCATATGACCTAAATGTAATCTTAATTTTGTATTCAAAACATGGTAATGAAAAGAACTGTATCTTGAATTTCTTTTCAGAAAATTTTATTACAAGAATGAGCATTAAACAATTTACTCAAAATCTTTTATGACATGTAATTCATAATTCGATATAATCATTCGAAGTCAGTTTAAATCACTAAATAATGGCTGCTATTGAATCATTTTCAGCTATTGAGCAAAGGCTTTCCTTTATTTGATTTCTCGCCTCGATATTCAACATTGCGAATGCCTTAAGGGGTGACAATAGTAAGAAATAAGAAAAAGAAAAAATATCTTAGGTAAAAAGTTGAGATAAGTCAGTTCAAGACAGGTTACTTAGTTATATTAACGTCCCGTATAAAACCAATAGGAGGGCTATTTTCAGACATATAGCGAAATTTTTAACTACTATCAGTTGACTAGAACGAAACCTGAGCTGGTATTCCCCTCTCCAAATTTCTACACAGCAGAGTGGCGTAAAAATACCCACACTGGCCCGGCCTACCCAAAAAGGGTGTAAGGCCGGTAGAGGACCAGTGGGGAGACCTCCACCAGCATGTGGAGGACGGGATGCTTGACTCCCGGCATATGATTTAACTTGCAACAAGCCTAAAACAGGATGGATTTTCAGTGGAATCGTGTTCCTTAACTGGAACTCTCAGGTCCCTTAGCTGAGACCTTACCATTACCACTAGGCCAAAAGGGGCTTTTCAAATCAAAATTTAGGAAAACAAACAAATAAAAAGGAATAATTATGCAGTTTGATTGTGAACTGTTAGTTGAAATTTTTCTGAAAAGTACGAAATAGCAAAAGACCATGGTTTCACATACGAAGGTAGGGTGGAAAACGTATTCCTGAAGTTATAGAGGGCGCTGCGAGTTTGCATTTTCTCTTCACACACAAAGTGTCTCACTACTACAGCTGTCCCCCATTCGGTAAGTTGACTTTAACCTTTTCCTTTTCTGTTGTACCAGGAAACTTTTTACCTTTGAGCATTTCATTACAACTGCTGTACCAGATACAAAGGATGATTTCACTCTCTGCACATAACGCAGTTCTTCTGATTTAAGTCCCCGTAGCCAAAAGGTTAATGAAGTGACGGTATCGCAACTACTGTGTGGACGGGATCATTGGCGAATGTTTGACGGTAGAGTACTTACTATCTCACTCATTGGATCGTGCAAAATACCTAAAATTTCTGGGGACAATTTTAACAATTTTTTTGCTTGATTTTCCTGTTAAGATTCGTCAAGACAAGTCATTTCAAAATAATCGTACCCAAGCAAGATTATTTGACCTGAAAATTTGGACCTAAATGGATTGGGTTTAGTTCGTCCATTCTCTTGGTAATCAATATCATCAAATTTATGTCTCATCGATTTCTTTGAGGGTATACTGAGGCGATGAGGGAGGAAATTGAATATAGAAATCTTGTGCGAGAGTCCTATTGATAGTGATCTAGATAATGTTTCGTGACTAATGGTAACCGCATTTCATGAAACGCAGTCAACCCCGCACATATTCGAATGCAAATGTCGGTCTCGTTAACTCTTTCTAACGACAAAAATTGGACTACTACATTTTTTTAGTGCCTACGCCGACCTGCTTACCGAAATGGTGAAAAGATGCCAACAGAAAGCGGTGTTCCCCCTCCCAAGTACTGACCGCGCCCGATACTGCTTAACTGCGGTGATCGGACGAGAAGTGATGATTTCAGCATGGTAGGCCAATGGGTTCGATTACTACTTGCTGAACCTGTTTAGATCAGTTCATGGCACGACGTTTCTATCTTTCCTGAAGCTAATTTTGTTTGGATTTCCTAAGAAATCACTTACTGGGCTCGTGTACAAAGAAAAATGTGCAAGCAAATTAAAGGGAAATAGATCGTATAAACAAGACATTTAAGTAAACGCAACAACTTAATATAATAACCCTTTTATCAAATTTGTTTGAAGAGGAATATGTGTACAAAATATATAACAAATTTATTTAGGAAGTTTAATTTTTGAAATATTCCTAAAGCAAATGCATTTTACCTTATTAGTTAATTATGTATAAGAATTTTTCGTTAATGATGTCGATTTATGTAAATTCAATATAATATTGCAAAGAAGGCAAACATCTTAACTTGTTTAACCAGCTGATATTTACAAATCATTTTCAATGACTGGATTAGAAAGCACATTGTTTCGTAGAAAAAATTTTAAAAGTGGCAAATTATGCTTTAACTAATAAATATTTGCTTATAAATACGGAAGTTTTCGTTTTAATGTGAAGCATTCACATGCTAAATTGCAAATTATACAAAAATAAAGTATTCCTCTTTTGAAGTGCAAGAGGTAATAAATTCAACATTCTCTTTTATAATGTAAAAATAAACTTTCAAGGAAGGCTGAAAAGCATGCATGTTTGTACATTATTTATTCTTGGCACGGGATAAAGATAAATATTTGTATGATTTTCAAGTGAAAACAAAAATTCTGTCTAATATCTGTTGGAAAATCCTAAGTCAAACACATGCATATTTCTTATTTTTCTAGAGTAAATGTGTACTTTATATTTGGTAATTATTGTATAGCTTTTAATCTTACTTGAATGAAAGAAATTTATAAAAACAATATATAAAAACTTAATTTTTCATGGTTCTGGAAAGTAGACTTTTAAAAAAATTTTAATCATTTTCTGATCTTTAATCTTTAATTTACATTTCATTGTTATAAATCTTATGAACTCTTGAATTCAATCTTTTCTCAAATTCACTACCAGATATCTGCACTCTTAAGGAATCAAACATTAATTAAAATAGCCCATTAAATGGTAATTGAGTCATGAAAATATTTAAATAGTGTATCGTCTTCGAGAATATAAAAGTGCACAAAACTTCAAAACTATATCACATCAAGAAGTGAATGAAAAAAATTAAACATTTCATCTTTACAAACATGAAACAAGTAAAGTTAAATAAAAGTAAATAAAAATATCAAATTACTGCAATAAGTGCTTTTTGCGCTTGCAAGCACTAGAGTCGTTACATATTATTCGAATTGTAAAAATGAACTGAAGTAAGGTGATTATCCTCATACTCTGATGGAATTCGATTCTGATAAGTGAG